AGGTCCCTTCCAACCCAAAGCATTCTATGATTGTATGAAAGAAATTGCTCTCTCCCCCTCTCTCCCTTGGCAGACTATCCAGTCTACATCAGGACATTAACAGCTTACTGGAAGGCAGAAATAGGTTTTGACCTGCTGTGTTGTTGCATGTTACAGTACATAACAATTAATTTTTTAATATAAAATATTGCATTCTCATTTCCTAAGAAATTAGCTTCCAGGCACTTAAATATTATGTCTGAAAAAAAAATCAGCATCATACTGAAGATTATATACACAACATCAGTATATATTAAAAGAAAACAACTTTCATTAAACAAGGATTATACTGTGTTAAGCAACACCGAGGCTCGCATTCTGGAGTGAATGATCTCAGAAGCCCCCTCCTATAAAAAACACTTGAAATAATAAAAGCAAATATAAAAAAACCCACCCTCAAACAAAAAACTAACTTACAAAAGTGTATGCTGATAATTGCATTAACCCTATCCTCCTCTGAGCTTTACTAGGTAGGGAGTAAACATAAACATACAGAAATAGAGAGCCTTAAAGTTCAAGAGCTGTCCTACGAAAAAAGTGAACTACTCCCCACAAACATTTCTACTGCTATCAGTGCACTGGAGAAAAATTGTTTCAGCTTATATAAGAAGGAAGATTAAGCTACTCCTTTACATTTTTTTAAATGCTGTAAACCTAACATTTTTTCTGGGTACGTAACCTTGCACATTTATTATATTAATAAGCTATCTAAGTTTCTTTTCTTCATACAATTTCCAAATTCAGGACAAGAGGCTTCATCAGCAATACTACAGATCACTTTCACAGATTTTCTAGTGAAAAAAATTGCCTCACTTCAGTGACAAGACAAGAAAAACCTATGACTCAGAACTATAATGCTAGGTCTCTTTGAAGTGAATTAAAGTTTGTCAGCTGATTAGCAAAGAAATCCTTAGTTTTAAGTAGCGCATAAATATTCCCATATATCTGAAACTTTTGTTGGCTGAGTTACATATTAAAAAAGTACATTATTTCTGAAGTAGACTAAGATCTATGCATGCAGGTTTGTTGCACACAGAACTGCACCAATGATTTAATAAAAAAAAGGTATCACGTAATCATTAATCTTGTGAAAATTTGCAATGGAAGCAATCAAAAATCACATACTTAATTGCAATTTAACAGTTTTGTTGCTACAACAGCTTTCCTCTTTTCTTATGTGTTCATTCTAGCCCAAAAGGAGAGGCATGTAATATCTCCAGGTCACAGCAGATTAGACAGGTGACCAAACAACATGAGGCACTTACACTCTTAAAAAAAAGGACAAAAACAATGCATCGTTCATACCATCAATACAGTCTTGGAAGAATCCCCAGGATATCGGAGACTGAAGACAATCAAAGATCCCAGAAAGCAAAAGAAGGTAAGGGTGGCAATATTTCTAACATCTAACAAAGACTCCACAAGAGGAATAGTTCCCATTGTCCAGTCGCAGCATAATTCTGAGGGGTTGAGAAGAAGCCAAGCATTTACAGGGAGGAGGTAGTTGAAAGTCAGCTGTCTTGCTGGGGATGGACTAACAGCAGCTGGGTTATCAAACCTAAAGCAAAAGAAAGGAGAAAAAGAAGCTTTTGATGAAAAAAAGATATGGTCCTGATCCACTTTGTGCTCAGAAACCAGCAAACTTTAGATTCATAGCTAGAACTACTAGCGACAGACACGTACAATATCTTAATCTTCCTGCATTTGTCAGGTGTGTAGCTTGGGTACCATGCACGATTATTCATCTTAGCACGGGATGGAGCCTCCTCCAAGTTCAAGAAACTGGTTTGGGATATAATCACCGTAAGTTCGGAGAAACAGAATGATTTACACCTGAAGTTGGGTTCAGTGGTCCTTGTTCATGTCTTTAATAGTCTGCCTCATTTTTCAGGGAAAATACTAGATTCTTGTATTTCTACATTGCTCACACACTTCTAAGATAGATTACAGTTCTACCATTATTCATATACACTTATCTTCAAGCACTGTATCCAAAGTCAACCATGCTTTCTGCATAGTACATACCTAAATACAAAAAAATATTTTCTATGTAGAAGAGGAGAAACTTATTAAGAGGTTTGGAGTATTCAGCCAAGGTTCAAACACACAGCCAATAAAAAATACTTTAGTAATAAAACATTTAATTTCTGAATTACTAAGATGAACTAACAACTAAGTTTTTAAAAATTCATGATGCCTCTTCAGATACCTCAATATTTTGGACATTCTTGTCAACAGATACTGAAATATACCGTTTATCAATTTCACAAAAAACGTGATATGCTACAGTCATTACTTACTAATATTAAAATAAGTTAATGAACACTTAAGTTGATGTATTTTTGGCCATTTCATTCAGACCTTATTAAGCCACATCTTATTTATCAGTGTCTAAATAAAAGACACTTTACTATTACCTTGTAAACACTGGAAGTTGAGACTGGATAACCTGGACTCTGACAACTACAAGCAGCAGTGTACTAAACATTAGGACTATGAGCTTCAACAGTGTTTGGAGCATAGAGAAAGGAATACTGCCCTTTCCTCGAAGAATCTGTACAGCTGTGTCCAACAACACTGGCAAGGTATACTGCAAAGGAAAAAAAGTGTTTATAATCAGACAGTGTACTCATTAATCCCTTAGATAAATATGAGCTTCCTAATCTTTCCCCCACTCCTTGGTTTTCTCTAAATGTGGCTCCCAATAGTTACTTAATTCAGCTTCTTACAGCTTTCATGACAACCGCCAAAAACAAGTCCACCATTCTAATAAAAAATAACTCTAGTCAAGTATCCTTGCTAACACTGTCACAGGTGAACGTGTATGCCTGTAGTTCTGTATTTTGCACTGACAGATTAAAAAATTTCTACCATCTTCAGAGACTGCAATAAATCAAGTATGACCATGAAATAAATTCTGAAGAAGAGAAATCACTATTTTCAGAATTATCAGCCCCTCTGAAAACTTGTCCTATAAACAAAATTGCTTAGGAACAGTAGAAATAGTATTCACTTCCTGATTAGCCTTGGATTTCTATTTTATGCCTCTACTGCAGTAACCCATGTCTCCCTGCTTCATGAACTTTATGATCTTGCAGAATTCCCCATTACATACCCTAATTTCTTCCCTGTGTACCTCTTTCCCCATGTTTTCATGTTCTGTGCCAGGGATGACTTATTGCTTCACACATACTGGCTGGCTAAACTAGATATTGACAGGGGTTTGAGAACTGGTCAAACTCTTAGTTCACGCTACACCTGTGCCCTCAGAAGCAGCCTCAGTTTCGATTTTATCTTTTCTACTCAGTTGACTTGCACAAATTTGTTAAACTTTCATGAAGCTGAGGATCATATCAAAAGTTACTAAAGAAAGGAACAATGGATTGAAAAGTACAGTCATATACTGGTGATTTCCTTAGAAATTCAGTTTGAAAATTATATGCTTATTCACTAGACTTGCAAATGCAACAGTTACAAACACACGTATTTCTGTAAGCACAAATTATTATTTTGGCATTTTGGCCTTGAATATGTATCCCCAAGACAGACAGTCTTTCAGTTTTTACTGGTGCAGTTTTTGCAAAATCATCCTCCAAGTAACAGTAAACTAGAAAATTTTCTTAGAATATGCAACCATGTATTTTTAAATTGCATATGGTTTGACTATTAAAAAACCAAGAATTATTTCATTGCAGGAACACCTCACTTCTCTAAACAAAAGAAACATTACTATTAACTTAAAGCCTTATCAATGCTTAAGATGAAACCTATCAGATTCGAAATTAAAGGTATTCTTAGAACAACGAATTCCATAAGAATATTACTGATTCAAATAAGACTACTCCAAAATGTCTGTTTCTTCATTAGAATGTGATGAAATGCATTTGTATATAGTATGTTCTCTATCTTTACTACAGGAATTAAAAACAAATAATCCCTATCTTTATGCATCTCAGACTTTAACCAAGACTGTTACATACTTGTCTGTGCAAACCTCGGTCAACTAAAACCTTAGGTTTCAATTAAGTTATGTCAGTTCTTTATTGAGTATATTTGGTAACATCTCTATATACCATGTAAAGGACAACTTAGAAGTCACTGGATTCCCTCACCAGGAACCATGTATGCTTTAAACACTCATTAAGAGTAAAAAAAAAAAACCAAACCTGAAAAATGTAACAGAACTATAGAGTTAGCCTGAACTGACAAAGATCAGTGCTGAAATATGACACTTCAAAGTATTTAATGCCTCATTACAGAATTCCTGAGAAGAAATCCAATTTATTTTTCAACAGCTTACCCCTTGGGCAATAAATACTTCATACACACAGCATATCCCCACCACTGTTATTCCTTGTTCTTTACACAGTGTTGCAACAGCTACCAGAAACACAGTCACTGCAATTGGAGTCCACACTGCAAATAAAGACGACATTACTGAAAATGTTCCATCTTACAACAAAAACAAACATTTAATAAAGTAAATTAACCTAAAAAGTGAAGACTTGGGCTCTTCATGTTTGAACATGCTATGTTCTATAAACTTATTCAGTATGCCATTTGTTATTAAAGGGAAGATTACCAGTTTTACTCTACAGAAAATAATGTACATGTACCAGTTTTAAAACTGCCTCCCTTAAATTGAAAGAACTAAACAAAAGGCAAAAGACTAATCTATGATAGGGAAACAAAAAACCACAATCCTTCCTAATTCACCACAACACTTTTTCAAATTGAATGTTTTATAGGGAGTCATGAATTTGCACAAGGTCAGTTTGACTTTGGAAAAGAAGCAAGCCTCCTACAACTCCACTGAAACTTTGCAGCTTACTTGTGACTGTCTAAGGCATCTCAGCATACTTCCACTTACTTGCATTAGTAGAAGTCAGTACAAGAGTCCCCTACTCTAGGTGTTACAAAACAACTGAAAAAGTGCTTAAGTCTTGAAGGAAAAAAAAAGGCAATTTGTAATGGACAGTACTAGTACGTGGGTATCTTGGCGATGAAGGTTTTTTGTTGTATGGACTTGCTGAATAACCAATACATCCATTGTATCACCATTTTAAGAGCTCTATTGATCAGTGGTACAGAAATTAAGTTATGTATATATTTGTCAGTCATTTACCTATGGTATTATCTGGCCCTTTAGATTTTGTATATGACAAAAAAGCAGCTAGAAAAAAGATAGATGATAAAAGCTCTGCTCTGCCCACAACTCCAGTTACCTGAAATGAAAAAGAAGAAAACACAAGATTATTCTTCTAGTGACTATTCTAGTGCTAGAATAGTGCATGACTGATATACTATCGGGATATGCATAAACAAGATCTATAAACCAAGTTAAAAAGGCTAAGAAGAGTAAGGCTGCTTTCAGTTCAATCAGTACTGATTTCAAGAACAGGATGACAGAAGTGGCTGGTGGCCACCTGTGGCTGATGTGCCCCTAAATATCACCGTTAAGACAACTGAGAAAAGTTGTACTTTCTTTTATCTTTAGTAACACCAGCCACAAGCAGCATTTGAGGCAGAATTCGGGCACAATAACAACTGCCTTCTTCATAATAACTTGGAAGAAACTAGCTTTCATCAATAGGAGCTTTTAAGTGAAGCCTGACAAGGACATTGTACATACATGTTCTGCAGACAGTATATAGAAGGCATATAGAAATTATGATTTTTATTTTTGTTCATACCTTTTCTAACTGACTGAATGGATCCGAACCTGAAAGAAGCATTCCCTTGACTGGTGCTATGGCAGCTCTTAGGTGAGCAGTCAAGAGTTACAAATAAATTGATGGCAAGCTCTGTGCAATGGACTTAAAGAATGACTCAGGCTTTACTACAGGCCTGGCAATTTTCTGAATGATAATTTGGTTGGCAATATTAAAATTGCAGGTAGTGCCCCCTTTGGTAATGAGACAGAGAGGAATGGATCTTATGAAAATTTGGAGAAGTGCTAAAATCCATAGGGCAGAAGGTTGTTTCAGAATCCCCAATGAAATACAGATTAAGTTCCTTTTCAGAAGCTGTTTTCAAAAAACACTAAGGTGCAATCAAAGACCAGAGATGGAAGACAGCTCACTATGTTAACAGTTACTGCAGTAGCCACTGTGCTGACCACAGTACCATTTAGGACTGCCTTTCTTCCTCGTTTGTCCTCTTCTGTAATGCCTCTGATTACATCCAAATTTTTGCAAGTAAGCTGGCTGAAAAATGGCATGCTATCCTGAGGCAGACAGTCATATTTAGCTAAGAAAACGTCATAGCTCACCATTTAATTATGATGCTGCTGAAAACTGACTTTCAGCCATCCAGACCCAGCTATAAGTTTTATTGCTAAGTATGCTCTTGGTCAAGCATGATTGATTCAGTACAGCATAAAAAGAGAAAGTAACTCAATATCCAAGGTCACAGTGTAAAGAAAACATACTCTGGTGTTTCCATTGGGAGTAGTGTACGTTTACCAAAGAACTCACTGAATCATGCACAGACAAAGCATCCTTCACAACTGACAGGACATCAGAGTTTGCATTAACATTTTGGAGAGTATACAGGTGTTTGTTTCCAAAATGCCTTAAGATGTTTCAAGGATTCCTGGTCTGGATCTCAAAATTGTGCAGCATTAAGACAGAAATGAAAGAGAACTTTGTACATGAGTTGAAAGAGATCATTAGTAAAGCAAGTGTGCTGGTGTGCCTCCACAGTCCCCTGCTGACAAAAGAGAGATTCTATTTCTGGATACAAATGTGACTTATGAGAGAAAATTCCAACATTCACAAGGTTAGTTGACATCCTGTAGCTGTAAAGGTGGTTAACATGCCTCTGGCCAGAAAAGTAGCAAAGTAGCTAGAAAGACTGAACTGGAATTCTAAAGACAAGGACAAATGAAACTGTGGTGCTGTTATTCAACCCATTTTCTCAAAAATTCTTCCTCAGAAAATTATATATTACCACTGCAAGAGACCAGCTTCTCTCTGAAGTCAAGCAGAAAATTATTTTCTATTTATGCTGCTCTGCTAGCTTCTCCAGGAAAAAATAATTTATCATAAGATAGGTAAAGGTTTGAAATGTTCATGTATTGCATCTGCTGTTTCAAACTCTTGTGCAGGGGAGTAGTAAGTAGGAGACTAATTTGAAGGAATTCAAATCAGATCCATTTCAATTATAAAAGATACAAAAGGTACCATCAAATTACATAAAAACTGGGAATGAGACCTGTTTTGGAGTTTTCACTAAAGTCTAAGTCAGTCAGTTGGCACCCAAATCCTCAGTTCTAAAATACAGCTCATTATTACCTCCTCTTTTCCATGTATGGAAACTTCCAGTTGTTTTGCCTTTTATACATGTGCACAGGTCTCAACTGCCAACTCTAAGAATCCTTTCTTGGTTGCATGTTAGGCAGAACTCTCAGTGCAAACACTTGAAAGGATAGAATGCACTATTTCTCAAAAGCAGAAAATTTAAATTGAAAAAGGTGCGGAAGGAGGAAGAAAACCCCTTAACTGATTCTTCCCTGAGTACCTAAGTACAACAGCAGGGGAATTCAATAAGAATTGCACTTAAATCTCACAGCCTCTAAGTGTTTTAAGTACAGCACCAAGTTCTACCAATCACACAGTCTTAAAGTGCCCTCATGTGGCTAATATCAGGGATTACACATTTATTACCAAATAATTTCATAACTGCACATAACTTTGTTAATACATTGCCTTACTCAATAAGCTTTCATTACACAATGTTTTGTAGGATTCGTACGATACTTTTTGCTAACTCTGGTGCATAGTACTAAAAGCAACTGTGTTACTGTTATCTCGTACAGAATCTGACAGTTTGAGCATGACAAGGAATCATCATATTTGGAATGAAAGTGATAAAATTACATAGGATGATCTAAGCCATAAACTACTAATGTAAATCACTAGCAACTTACTAATGCTCCTGTAAAGATACTATCACATTTGCTACAAAGAGGCAAAGCCAAACTTTGAAACATAAACCATTTTTTTTTTCAAAGAAACAGAAAACCAAATTAAATTAACAAATTACTTTTTAACCCATATTTTACCCAAGATTTTATTAGGGTTTGTGCTTTCAAGCACCAAAGGAAACAAAAATTTTTAGGTGTTTAATTTTTTGCATTTTTAAACATGTCACTAACAACTTCTAGCAAGGACATATTAGCAGCTCAAACAGCAGCCAATTATAAACCCCATGAACTTAATTCCTATGAAGATTTGCTCAAAATATGCAGATGCAGGCTACTGAATTGCTACTGACAGGGATCTGTGTCTTTAGAGAACATGAGAGAGATGCAAACTCTTAACCCAAACAAAACAGGACCAAAAAAATACAACATGAGGTTAGAGCAAACCCTTCTCATTTTCTTAATATCAAAATATACTCCCCCTCCCCCCCAAAAAACATGTTACAAAACCCCAAAACACCAAAAATGGGGTAACACCTCCAAAGAAGCAAAAGTTTTAAGCATTTTCAGTTTTCTGAAAATCAGCTAATACTGCAAGGAAAAAGAGACTGAGAATGGGCTCTGCAACATGTGTGAACTGGAATCTAGGAAAGCCAATCTAAGTGGTGCAGAAATAACAGCAGAGAATTCCACAGATCTGCTTTATCAGTGTTCCTGACTGAAGCAAATCTAATGAATGGCGATCACAAGACTCCATTTACTCCACAACACTACAAGCCTGGTTGACCTTTAAGAAGTATATAAGACAGCTTGTATACATAATGCTTTTCATAGCAGTGAAAAACTCCTTCAGAAGCAAAGGAAAGGTAAATATGACAGGCAAGAAATGTACTTCCTCTTTCTTATCTCAGATATGTCAAAAAATGGAAGGTTCAAACAGAATGACCCTAAGCTGGATGTAGCATAGCAACAATCCTAGAAAAAGCCCTGCCAAGATAGATATATTGACATAAAAGAAAGTGGACAGAACAGACTTGGTGATTAGCTAAAGGGGAGGGGAAATTAATTAAGAAGTATTCATAGTATTTGCAAAATATGACACTGGATGAATCATCACAGAACACAAGTATCTGTGTAAACTAAAGTACCCATCATCATAAAAGCCAATGTTCATGGCAGAGACCTAAGTTATTTAATAACTAAATTAATGTTTCTTTAATTATTTTTCAGTAGCTGCATGGAATACCAAACAGCTTCAAGCATTAAAATTTGTCACCTCAACCATTCGTTCCAAAGGGCAGAGTAAGTACTAGTAAAATCACACACCTGTTTGAGTTACAATATATAAACAGATACAAACCCCATGAAATTTAAGGTTAATTAATAGTTTGAACAAATTAAGCACATAACAGCTATACCTACCGCTTCAGTATGTATTGGGTGCACTGCAAAGAGCAAGGATGCAACTACACTGCTCCTGTTGTCCAGAAAAAGTTTACAGACCTTGAGGAAGACTACACAAACCACCACATGAAAGACCAGATTTAGGAAGTGGTAAGAAACTGCATTTAACTCGCTGAACAAATAGTTTAGGCGAAACGTAAGAACTGTAAGGGGACGGTAAGATTTATGACTCCTCTCCTAAAAGAAAATAAATAAATCAATCAGTCACCACCAACTTAGATATTTTGGAGTAAAAGTCTTATAAAAAAAATCTATGCATACATGATTCCCCCCTCTATTTTCAGGCATCTACCTTCAAAATAAAGACCTGAAAATCAGCAATACTAAATAAAAAAAAAAAAAAACCACCCCCAAACAAAAAACTAGTGAATGAAAACTCAATTAAAAATGTTAAACAGAGAAGTTAATTCTGACTATTTTTCCTACTTCTACATAGTTTTAGTGTATTATTCAAGTATTTTGATTACTCTGCCATTTCATGTTTTAGATAAGTATTTTATAAAATAAAAATCTGGTGCATTCAGCTAAATGTATTATCTACATATTTTCACTATGTCTACCAGTCAATATGTCTATGTTGCCCGTTACTCCACCCATAAACCCTTTTAAAAACTACACTTAACACCATCTTCCTGCTCCAAAATGCATTTGTCAACCCACAGCCCGTTGATACTTTGCTGTGTGTGTCCATAAAAAAAAAAAGGAAGAAAATCTAAGAAAAAACTGGAGGGTGGGGACAGGGAACCAATTTGCACATACAGACAAAAACACAAGATAGGGAAAAATATTTTAAAAGCCATGAATGATCAAATTAATCTGACTTCATTTAGTTAATTTTAACCCAATTTTCAGTTGGTTTTAAGTGCAAAATCAACATTGAATGAGATGGCTTTCTCACGCTCCACATGGTTAGGGGTTTTTTTGAGTAAAAACATGTTGAAAAATACTACTTGAAATTTTACTGGGAGGAGTTTAGGAACCCATTTACTCTCAATAACTACAGGACTAGACAGCATCTGAAAAGGAGTCTGGAAGCTTTCATTCCAGGGTCATATGCAAATTATGCATCAAAGTCTATTTGTAGAGCTAGCAGTTAGCATCTCACAAGGAACTAACCCTGTATGTTATGGGCATAAGAAAACAGAAGATTACAAGGTGGAATGCCTTGATAGGCAAAAGCTTGTCTGTCAGAGAATTTTTATGCATTTGCTCAGCAATGGCATCATGTGTAACTTTCTAAACTATATGTAAAACCTTTAGCCATAGCCATTTAATGATGTTTATCAACAATTTTAATGCAATGCAGCTTTTCAGAGAAAAACATAGCCACTCTACATGGGCTACAAACCAAAAACTACAAACCAAAAATTCACATAAACATACTTAATCAAAAAAATTTAATGGAGTCAATACCCATTTGCTAACTCCTAGCTTTGATGTTTAAGGGTGTTACCTTTCCTCCCAGGCTGCAATTGTATGTCAATGCCCAGCTTTTGCAGGAGAAGGTAAAATGGTCAGTTGTCCAATTTTGATATTGGAATTAGATAACACACAGCATCTTTAAGTGTGAGGTGTGACTTCATTTTCTTACAAGTTCTTTTATTGAACAAAGGGAAAGGATATAAGTGATATCTGTTTGTGATCTTATAGTACAAAACACTAGCACCACCAAATTGCATCAGAAACAAACTATTCTGTTAAAACCACATTAGGGGAAAAGAAGTGTAAAAACCTCTCTGCAAGGTTTTTTCCATTTCCTAAATGCCTCAAAGTGTTTCACAAACAACTTACCTCAGACATCGGAGTGCCCCAAAAGTCATTCTGAAACAGATTTTTTAATGGAGTAGAAGGATGCAAATCTTTATTGTCCAAAATCGCTGAAACATCATCAAAAACAAAGCCACAAAAGAGACTGTTCCAGTAGCAGGCTGCCACCACACCAACTATTAGTGCTGCTTCCTTCAGGCTTACATCAGCCATCTTCTCTAAGAGTTTTCATGGACAAAAGCTGAAATATATGGACAGAAACCTGAGTAGTTTTACTGATTGAAAACTAAACTTTATTTATCAAGTCAAATTAAGACATCCAATATTTTAGAATGACATTACATATCTAAAAATCATTAAGATAGCTTTCCTTAAGTCTCATCTATCTTACACAATTTAGCGTTTAAAAGAAATACTCTCATTAAAAGGTCTCACCCCTAAAAAGCCCTCACACAAGCTGGATACCCTGCTACGTTTCATGCTTTACTAAAAAAAGATTGATGATAAATTGTGATGTAGTTTTTAGCAGACAGCTATGCAGTTCAAGCGAATGCCGCAAACTGAAGAACTATGAGAATTAAGCTCTCTTGAACCCTGAGTAATTTAACATCCTGACACAGAACACTAAGTTATCAAAAAGGTAGACAGTGTGTTAATTATTCATGGTTTTTAGGCTTAAAGGTGTTTCTCAAAATATTTCAAAAGCAATTAAGAAAAACAAATTTCAAACGTTCTGAAGAAGAAACAGGAAACTTGAAAAACTTTGTAAATACAGGTGTTCAAGAACAGGTAAAGAAGGACACTAGTAATAATAAAAAGTTAAACTTACCATTGAAGCTTACACTTTGCTCATTTGCGTTCTTCATAGAAGTTCATGAAAACGTCATTTTTTTCTCAACTCTGCCAATTGGTCCGATGTCACTGAACATTCATGAGAGTCCTGTCTAAAGAAAAAGAGCATGCAAAAAACCCACTACAAATGAACTTTATCTCACATTATTTTCTCTCATCTGGTGTAAACTTCCTAAGCCCTATAAACTATTAAAGAGCAGTTTGGTGATTATTGAAAAAATAATATATGGGTGACCTGATCGACAGGTGAAAATACAATGGATTGGGTTGTTTGAAAACACTGTTCTGCCTTGGAAGAATAAGAAGGTAACTACAGGTCAAAGGCATTCTTTTTGAACACTGGTGGGCACAGTATGGATTACTGCCAATTGTTAGGACCAAAGATATTGAAAAGCTACACAGTTGAACACTGACTTAGTTTTGAGAAAAAGGATAGATGACTCAACAAAAATGTATAGCATTTTCTCCATCAGACACAGAATGGCTACTATTAGCCAGATAATTTGGATCCATAAATACGTAAAAACATCAGCCTTATGTCTATCAGGGTTCACAAATTAAACCTGATGAGTTATTTGGAAGCTGTAGTCTGTTTTATTGTCCTAAGCCCTGAAATGCTGGTGATTTTTTTTTTTTTTTGCTTTGGTTTGTTGGGTTTTTTTAATTGTGTTCAGGTTTAAGTATACCATCTTCTAAAAACAGGCCATAGAGATAGGCCATAGAGATATCTCATCCAGACAGGTTCCCTCAGTTGTGGTTTGCAGTCTGGGCCTGAGAGCATGACAATCACCTATCTCAACTAGTGGTAAAGGAGCAGTGATACAGGTGCAACAAGATGCAGGTGCAGTTAAACTAAAAACCAGGACAAAGATCATTTAAAAGGAATCACAGCAATACATTCAGTGTTACTCACATAATGGCAGTGAAGGTTTTTTTCTTCTTTTGTAGTACTTGGAGCACTGGCTATTGGTGTTACTTCAACCAAAAGTGAGCCTTTTTTCAAAGCTGCCACCACCTTTGTAATAAAAAAAGGAAAAAACCCAATGTTAAATGGGAAAGGATGCTGCTACATCTTTTTGCCAGGCTGGATCAGAGTACTTTAAAACTCTAAGCCAAGATTAAGTCTGAACATATTTATGGTCATCTTGGCAGCCAGGAAAAAAAATTTTAAAAAAGACAAAGCATGCTGCAGGAAAACATGAAAAGACAGCCCACTTTTGAACTGCGACTCACCAGTTTTTTAGTTCCCCCCCAAAGAACGTGGAGGAGAAGAAACTGCTATTTCTTACCCTGCTAGAAATAAAGTTTGAAATTCCTTGTTTGCAACAGCTTCTGAACAGTGCACTTCCTACTTCTTGAAGTTCGCTAGTCCTACTGAAAAGCAGTGACATCTGAAATGGACCTACAGTGAACTTGTAATGATTTTCCAGCATACAAGCCTACATTTTTTAAATACGGTGTTCCAAAAATTAATGGGTCAAGATAATATCGCCACGCAGAACCAACTGTAAGGTTTATTTAAATTCACCCTTTAAGAAAAAGCACCACAAGATGAGTAGATTTTCGGCGAGTTGAGACTTCTTTATTAACAATATAGGTTTACTGTCTTGGTTGAAGCTGCAAGCCCTTGCAGATACTGCTTTGCGTATCCAAGAGTAACTCTGAGATAGTTTTTTAACAACCCTACTTCAGAAACAGTTACTGCTACCCAACTGGGGGAGGGGGGTGGGGGGGGAAGGATAGATTCCCAAGTATAGCCTCCTATCAAAAGGAAAAACTTAACCAACCTCAACTACTTTTCTTTTTGTAGATTTTTACTTTTCTTTTCCCTAAATATGTCAAGACAGCTACTTCACCTTATTCCTATGCAATTCTCATGCTTTCACAAGCCTTTCTTTTTGCTCTGAATTTCTGGTATTTCTTCCACCCAGAACTCTAATTTACACCACTACTGACCACGCTGTTCCCTGACAGAGCTCCATTTACCTACATGCCAACTGTACGGAATACACTGTTTTCATTTGAATGAAAAGGAACTCTTAGGTATAAAGAAGTTAAGATTTTAGCTGCATCCAAAGTCAGGTTTAAGCAGCTAGCCCACCATCAGAGAAACCTGTTTGGGAACTCCAGAAAAAATTCACCCCTAACATCACAATTTTTTAATTTGCAATTCGCTCTCTCCTTTACACGCACATTTCAATCACAGATATGATTGCAAATAGATGGTTATAATTTGGTCTTTCAAGACCAGTATTTGAGCCACAGACAGTCCAGGCAATTCTGAACAGCTTACTAAATTTACTGTAAGGAATGAACATATGCAACAAAATGCATTGTTCTGGTTTTAGCAGCAAGTCACACAACACACTGCTTGAACTGTGCCAAGCTTGGTAGCCTCAAATGCCATATCCCTCTCAAACTTTTGTCATGTGTAAAAGCACTAATAGGTCTTGGCAACAGACAGGTATAATGGAAATCCAGAAGAGCCCCCATTTTCCAGCAATCTGCTTCCAGGGCAAGCACAAAGAGAAAAATGGGAAATTCAAGGCCACGTACAATCTGTAGATTGCACAAAATTGTAGCACAGATACTTTACTACTTCTGACTTGCATTCTGGCATTCTAAGGTCTTATTTTCCTGAAATATATTGCAAAGATACACAACATTAGGAAAATTATGTTTTCCACCTGGTCTGATTACAGGGTAGTTTAATGTTTTTGCTGAATTAAAGCTTAAATATGGAAAAGATGTTTTTACAGTCCTTTATGTTAGCATAACAAGGCAGATTTTGAGCAAGGCTCACCATCAGACCTACCACTTCCTATCTGCTACTACAGCTGGGTCTACCACCAAATTCCAAGCTTCAAACCTGGAACGATCATCAACATGTTGAAAATGCAAGAGTAAAACAGAGGGAGGCTTATAAAAGCTCATCTGAACTTGGTAAGCCAGGCAAAAGTATGTCTGCCATTAATCTCAGTGGAAAAGAGCAATTGCTATTTGGCAGCCAACAATCTTTTCACACCAACTCATCTGTCATCAGTTTGATGTTGGAAAGTGAGAAGCCATATAAGGAGTATGCACGCCTGAGAACCTCGTAGATCACAGATGTGCAAGAGGCTACTGAAGCGCTGGTATGATTGGGCTCCTCAAGCGAGTCATGGTGAGTGCATATACTCCCCTTCTTGCCCAGCAGACATGTTGAAATTTGCTACAACTCAAGTATTGTCTTGCAAGTGCCAGCACTTCACCACTCCCAGTGATGGGTATAGTGATAAATACCTGTAAAACACACTGCCTAACAATTTGTTTATTAATACAGGCTTGCTGTGAGGGAGAACCACATCACTGACTGCTCCAACACAGGTAAACAGATTGACTGTCCCTCAAGTTATTTTTTCATCTCACCTATCCGCTACTTTCTCAGCTTGTAAGACTGCCCATCAGATACCTTAACCACCCCTTGGGCTGTACGACTGCCAGTTTGTGGTCTATGGAACAGCCACAAAGCCCCCATTTGACTGGATGAAATCAGGACAGACACATAATTACCAAGATCTCTGTTGGATGTTTTTATTTACAATAATAGCTGAACATGTCATGAAGAACATACAGCTGAAAACAATAAGCAGCAAGATAAGTCTTGCGAGACAGAACCTGCACCATCGGGAGAGCCAACTGTAGAAAACAGAATGCCCAAGCTGTGGAAAACACCTGATTGTTAGTCTAATTTTCTCAAGCTGTTTGGCACAGAAATCCACATTTTGCATTGTACTGTTTTTATGTCTGTACAGAGACATTCACTGGAAAGAACAGACAAGAACCAGAGCTCCCAAGCAGGTTTTGCTTGTAAGGTATGTAGTTTTCCTCTTCCAACTTGTTGGGAACCCTCTATGAGTTCATCCAGTCTTCTCCTTCAAGAATTAGAGACAAGAATAAGACATAACAAAAAAAAAAAAACAAAACACCAACAACCCCAAAACCAAGACTCTTTCCTAAAAGTAGGAAAACAAAATATTTCTCTACAATCACTACTAAATCCATGACACTACAGACGATTTAGCACTGCATACTGCAAAATAATAGTAGTCTGCACAAAAAATTCAATTAAAAAAAATGCATAATGATGCTCTAAGAGTATCCTCAGTTGGGAGATTTGGGAGTGTGGAAGCCATTTTCTGCCCATATGAAATTAGGAAAAAATTAGGAAGTAGTATTTAGGAAGGAATACAGCTGCAATCCCTAAATATGCAACAGCTATTTAGCACTCAATAATTAGCTATCACCTAATAAACATGCTATCTGCCACCTTACATCAACAACAGACCCTTACAGGAGCAAGTATATTTGTGTTGATTAGACACATCTTACTACCTAACTTTAGAAACTTAAACATGCTTTTATAATTTTTTCTCTACTGGGTGATGGCACCTGCTGCTTTTATACCCTGAAGGCTGCTAATGATAACTTCTGTTCCGATGAAGCCTACTTCAAAGAAAATGTTCTATGCAAGTCACTTTTTTCTAAAGAAGAAGAAAAGACATGGGTAGTGGCAGTAATAGAGAATTTGAAAACCATGGCACTTCTGTATGGAAAAAAGCTTGTACAGTCCACCTAATCCTGCTTAGGATTTCCACAGAAACTGACAGGAACAAATGTGATCATTAAAATTCATCTCAAACAGATGTCCCAATTGCAAAGTTTCAACCTATTTCACCTTTTGTATAAAAGCTCTTACTACTCCTGAAAATACTCAGCATAATTGGCATATTATTTGCAGCTTTTGATACAGTATTTTGAAAGTCAGTTCACGCTGTCAGAAAACTTTTTTAAAATTCACATTATTCACTGTCCATAACAGAACACTAGTTACTACAATGTAAAGACTGATTTTTTTTTTTTTTAAATCTCATATTTGGAGAATATTTTCATTCACACTTCATTAAATATTCATAGACATTAAAAATACAGCTGACACTTTTCAGTCATACCAAGCTGTTAACATTTTCAACCACAATCAAACTGCAGGTGTTCTCTGGAGATGACAATGTAAGCACCAGTGAGGCAACAGAGTCTGTAACTCCACAGAGTCA